TCTCCTCCTACTACCCATCGTGATGCCCTAATGATTACTTCCATTACCATGGTAAAAGCCAGCGGAGAAACGGTGCATCCTGCCATTATTCCAACCTCAAAGTATTGCTGTGTATTGCTGAATTTTGGTAGCCTGACTTCGTCATACTCATATTCTAGTGAGAATATGAGTCTGAAACTGCTCCGTTGGGCTTTGATTATGAGGCGTGTCGTAACCGAACCAGGAAAAAAAAACTCTGCACTTAATTGGATAGTCGGTAGACCTACAACCAATCAGAGCAACGCAGCAAGTCAACTACTTTGCATAGAGTTGTCAACTACAGAACTTATTTTAGAAGTTAAATAACAAGTGTTGCTTCTTTTACTTACTCCTCCATGAGTGCGCCCAAAGGAGAAACCACAAAGACCACAGGCTTTTCATTACGTCCCATCTTCTTAGCGACCGTCAGAGCCAGCTGATAAGTTACACTTTCCCAAATCATGTAGGAAGGACGCCAAAAATATCTTTCCGATCGACAAATGCCTTGATTGCAGTTTTCTGTTTGTCTATTGAAATTAATACGCTGTCGATTTATTTCACAACAGACGCGACAGCGGAATCTATACTCAATTCTCCCGCTGCAGTCATCTCTGAGCGAAACCAGTTAGCGCTCTTTGATAACGTGATGATTACGTCCCTGCAGATCACCTGTCCATCATCGTATAAAGCCCGCCCTGGCAATTTGATTGGCCCGAACGTTTTTTTTTTTTTTTGCCTGATCATAATTTCTCCTCAATGGATCGAGTCCACACCGAACTTACCGACCAAAAAATGTTGTGGGCGGAGTTCGGGCTGGCATCCAGGCTAGAATTTTGGAGTTGAGAAACTAAATTGCAAATATCCAAAATAGGCTTTCACTAAATTTGTTATTGACATTGGTATATAACATTATTGACATCATATAACATTATCACTTTCTCATGATCCAGCATGATGAATGATGGTTCATTTTCAAAAAAAAAAAAGGCAGCTGTGGTTTCACTGTAAAAAAATACATAAATAAATAAATTAAATTTAGTTTTTTATTTACATAATCTGGTATATTGTTAATTTACACACCTAATGAAGTACTAGATCTGTTTTGTACCATTGTAATACACTGACAACCACCAATCACAGTGGAGATGAGAGTCACGTGATGAATCAAAGCTCATCACAAACAGCTTTTCCACAGGAAAGTTAATAGTGATATATAAACACATATAGAGTCATTCACACACACACAAAACACCATCATGACACACATGACATTTAAAAAAATGCAATAACATTAATGTAACTAAATTAAATGTAACATAAAACCCTAACATACATAACTTATTCGGAAAAAAAAAAAACTAAGAAAAACTATGAAGAAACAACACATTCTCATCCCAAGACGTCATCTAACTGACGCTTTTGACCATACGTCAACATCCGACGATTTAGGGTACCCTTTAACGCTATCCTAGGGCGTCATCCAACTGACGCTTTACCTTTAGCGCCAGTTAGATGATGCGGGTAGGTTTGGGTCTGGGGTAGGGGTAGGGTTTAGGGTTAGATAGCGTCATCTAACTGACGTTAAAGGGTGCCATAAAACGTCGGATGTTGACGTATGGTCAAAAGCGTCAGTTATGACGAGAACGGTCTGGAAGAATCGGTTATTTCAACAAAAATACATCAAATGTGAGGTATCAGGGAATTGTGGGAATGTCAATTTACAGTTTTTCACTGTAAAATATACAAGAATTCACATCCTAAAAACTGTCAATTTTACGGTTAGATCTATCACAGTTATTCACCGTATATAGAACAGAAACTTTCTGTTAACCAATTAACAGTTTTTCAAGGTTGATATCACAATCATTTTTACAGTGTACATAAACGCCACAAACACTGCATTCTGGACATGTGCTGTCTTTAAACAGCTCATTGTTTTTGAACTTTGTGATTGTGTTGAGAGGAATGAGAAGTGAAAGAGGAAACCCCCACAAAAGCAATGCAGCGACCCTGGGAAGTGAGCCAGAACTGGACACTGAACACTGGACACTGCACCACCGGGATCAGGCGAGGGGGGTCAGGGAGGGTTATTCACCCTGACCAGAGGATATAGTTAAAACAGGCTTTTTAGCCAGTGCATGCGTCATGAAGTGTCTTCCTCACACACTAGCAGAGTCCGGTAAACAATCTCCACTTAAAGACTCGATAAATGGCTCGATAAAGGCGGTTTCCTTGTAAAACAGGACATTTTGAAGGGTAGGGCATTTGAATGGACTTAAGTATGCAATGAATATTTAAGTCAGTCTAATTTAAGATTCTTAATCGTCAACAACTTTTTGTTCATTTCCTGGATGTTCTTGTCTTTTAATAAATGCTCAATTTGCATTATTACTGTTGTGACTCATGTCATTTTGTGTGTGCATTTAATTTCCAACATATTTGGGGTTTATTTTACCCCAGCAATACAGTTTGTTTTTAAACAATAGTTCAGTTAAGCCCAGCATGTTGGATCAAACATTGAACCCAATGAGGTTTTCCACATTTGACCAAGCGCTTGGGTTGCCAAAATGACCCGAATTAATCCAGTTTTTAACCCAGAATTTTTAGTGTCAAGAACATTTCATCCAAGGAAACTTTCTATTCCACAAAAGGTTCTTCATAGTAGAAAAAAGTTCATTTTAAGGTTATTTTAAGACCTCTTCGTAGAACATGAAATGGTTCGTTTATGACATTTGACCGAGACTTGATGCTGGAAACTAAAATACAGTACAAAGTGTAATTAAAGGCTTATAAAATATTCTTTATTGGCTTGTAAAATCAAAAGTCAACATTTGTCCAGAACTAATGCTCTATAAAGGCTGTCTGAGACATTTGTAGGGTCACGAGTGTTTTAACTGTGTCTGAGACTTGGTCAAGTTCCTACAAGTATGCAAGATCAACAGTAGAAACGAAAATATTTCTGTCATGGCCTCACATTTTCTCTCACGTCTAGTGTTTTCAAGTCCAGATTCTGTTCTTGGTGAATATAAATGTAGAAAGTCTGTTGTGCATCTCAGTTTGTTACCTGATTCTGAGCTGCAGAAGTGACAAACTGTCTTTAGAACTGACAATGTCACAGAAACGTCTGTAATTATGACTGACTTCTGTCGTTTATGGATAATCAATGGGAATAGTCTTAGGATACCTCTTATGGAAAACGTGTGGCAAATACCATGGTGCAATGAAGGCACCAGATAATAAATATCATGGTACAACTACAAAACAATAATAGCAGAATTGGACACAACCAAAAAAAATTGGAAGTATAGGACAAGAAAAAAACATAATAACGGCTAAAAGGATGTGGTACACTTTTTAAACCTGTGAAAAATAAATAAAATTTAAAGTTTAAAAAGAGTACTTAAGGAAATAATACACTTTAAAGGTGCATACGTTGAACAGAATGTAATGATTTAAGACACTTAATAGCATTTTATTTGCAATTAACTGAAAATGTATAGTAGTTTGAATTTATATGAAATACAAATAGCTGAAATTTTGTGTCATTTTTTGTCTTAAGAAGGACTTACATCTTTATATGTAATTTCATAACTACTTTGTCTTTGAAATGTGGTTAAAGTTACTGCTGAATGTACTGACTGGCATTTATGATAAACTAAAATATACCTTAATTTAATTTCTATTGAAACCTGTCTGTCATAAATATATTTCCAATTACACATTTGTAATGAAGCAGGTATTATTAATGAATTATTTACTCACTGCACTCAAAAAATACACATTATAAATAATGCTGATTATATTATTAGTTATTTTGAAAAATAAGATTCTACAACATAAGAACATACGATCAGAAAGTATGAATGATTTTACAGAAAATGTAATTCATTCCCAAAACTAGCACAGATATCAAGAATCAGCATACGAATCTCAACAATGGTGACATTAAATATTAAAAATTCATACTGCAGTGCATGCTAGCTACTACCAAAATACAAACTTTATTCATGGGTCCCAGCATGCATTGCAGCATGAATCATTTTTTTTTTATGATCAGCATTGTTGATATTCATATACTGATTTTTGATGTCTGTATAAGTAAGCGTAATACCATAGAGGTTTTTAAAATCTGATTGTACCAACACTGGGCCTTACAGCACAATCACAGTTTTTTTTTATATATATATATATATATATATATATATATAAATTAAGTGATTTTTGTGCTTAAAACAAGTAAAATGATCTGCCAATGGGGTCTTAATTCATCTTAATTCAAATGGAAAACAAAATGATTCGTCTTACCCCATTGGCAGATCGTTTTGCTTGTTTTAAGCACAAACTCACTTAATTTGGATTTTTTTTTACATTTTTTATCAGAAAAAAGCAAATTCCTCTTGATTTCAGATTTTTTTTTTTTTAAATTTGGACTGGAAACAAGACACAAATACTAATTAGGAATAGCATTTTTAGCACTGTACAATGTGCACGTGAACGTGACACTTACTTTTATTTATTTAATATTATATGATCTGCAAGTTAATACTATTGTATATGAATTACAAGATTGAAGTACACTACAGGTGCATTTCTTTTTCACATGAACTGTTTGTGAAACTTGACTTTTTTTTGGTTACACTTTATTTTAAGGTGTCATTGTTACAGTATAATTAGCACATAATTATTTAGTGTAAATACATGTAACAAGGACACTGTAAAATAAAGTGTTACCATTTTTTAACTGTGTAAAATGTATAATTGCTCTTGAGCCAGGCAGAGAGTAACCTGGAAGAGTTGGGCATTAAGTCATTTTTGTGTCATATGGTGAGGATGAGATTTCGTTGGGTGTGAGTGGTGTATTGTGCATGCTAAGGTGAGGCCGCTGTGACTCAGTGCTGATAGAGTGTGTGGGGGTCTGATAGAGGAACCCAGGACACACCACAGTTACACATTTACAGACAGGTGCCTATAAATCCTCACACACACTCACCAGGAAAAACACAGCCACGGACGCCTTACCCAAACAGAGGACTCCATCACCACACACACACACACACACACCCCGTCCTGGACTAAACTTCCCTCTGAATCATGTGTTCTGGAAACTGTGCTAAATGCCTGGGGATCACGCTCATCCCGCTGGCCATCATCTGTGTGCTCTGCAACATCCTCCTGTTCTTCCCCGGCGGGAAAGTGGCAGATAAGAGCGAAGACATCACGAACGAGGTCTTTTTCCTGGGAGGGATTCTGGGATCCGGCGTGCTGGTGAGTGAACGTTTAACATCTCATGCATTTAACGTGTCAATTTGTGCAGAAGGGTTTGTGGAGGGATTTCCTCTGTTTCAAGCTCATTTTTTTTAGGCCTATGGGTTATTTTTATCATGAGTTCTTTGAGCTTTCAAAATGTTACACTATTTTTTTTTTTTTTTGATTTGAAGGTTTTTGATTAAAATGTACTCACATTTAAAGAATATACTGGGATGGTCTTTGTTTAGATGATCTTCCCGGCGCTGGTTTTCCTGGGCTTGAAGAACAACGACTGCTGTGGATGCTGTGGGAACGAGAGCTGCGGAAAACGGTTCGCGGTGAGAAACTCCTCTTTAACTCAAACGCTCGTCTCTTGAGGACCAGAAGTCATGTGACAAATGACATTTTCACGCCATTCCTTCACACAATGGCCGCGTTATTCCCGCCATCTGAGAAAGGCCTTTCCGGGTTAAATATTCGGCATATGCATTTTTGTTCTTTTTTTACTCTTATAAGCGATTTTTGCAACACACGGGCTATTGTTTTAAAGAAGAAACATGAATAAAATTACAGATCCAAACATTACGGTAACATTTAAGGTAAAAGTTGCTGCCTTACGTTTTTAAGTACAACCAACTTGGATATTTAAGTCATTTCAACTTAAATCACATTGAAATGACTTAAAAAAAAATAAAATTAAAATACTGTACAAATATATTGTTGGTTTAACTTAAAAAATGAAGTAACCTGATTGCCTTAAAATTTTAAGTTGATTGAAACGGAAAAAGTGATTAATACAATGAAGGAGATCGATTTAATCATCAGAAACTCAAAATAATAAGTTATCTGAACTAAATAAATGAAGTTGATTTGACAAAAGAAAAAATGTTGTGATAAATCTTGAAAATATTTTTTTTGCGATATTTTTTAAAGATATCTTGTATAGCCTAACTTATTTTGATGAGTTAAGCAACGTAAAAACATATGTTGTGATAACGTATCGATCATATATTGGTTTGTTTTGCTCTAGATGTTCAGCTCTATCCTGTTTGCCGCGGCCGGAGCTGCCGGCGCCACTTACTCCGTGATCATCTCATGTGTGGCCATTAATCACGGACCCAAGTGCTTTACACTAGCAAACACCACTGACACCAATTACCCGTTCAACGAGGGGTACGTGCTTATTTTCCAGTAACAATCAAATCAGATAATAACCCAGTGGCTGTAATGTAGCACTGTGCATGTCCTTCAGAGACTACCTGTCCAACCACACACTGTGGGATGTGTGCACGGGCCCGGGGGACATCGTCACGTGGCACCTGACCCTGTTCTGCATCCTGCTGATAACCGGCCTGGTCCAGATCGGCCTGTGCGCCTTCCAGGTGATCAACGGGCTGATCGGCACCATCTGCGGGGACTGCTGCGGCTGCTGCGGGGTACGGCTCGCTCTCACACACCTCACTCACAAACAATTGAGGAAACACACTGCCTTAACATTATTAAACGTCATGGATAATTGAAAAAATTGAGTAACGTCGAATTGTCAAGTTCACATAACTTAATTTTATACAAATAAACTTTAATTTTTTTAAGAAGGTTAAATAAACGTTAATGCTTAATTGAAAAACTTAAGCTACGTGAACTTGACAATTCCGCATTACTTAATTTTTTTGATTAAGCAAGATGTTTACATAATTCATAATTTCAAGTAATGTGGAATTGTCAAGTTCAAGTAAGCATTAAGTTTATTTAACCAACTTAAAATTTTTTTTAAAAATAAACCCGTTGCCTTAAAATTATGAAGTAGGTAAATGTCACGCTTAATCAAAAAAATTAAGTAATGTGGAATTGTCAAGTTCACGTAGCTTAAATTTTTAAATTAAGCATTAAGTTTATTTACTTTTAGAAATTGAGTAAACCTGTTGTCTTAAAATTATAGAGTAATTAATAAAAAATGATATAGTTAATAAAATTGAATTTTAATTAATTTATATAGTAGCCTAAATAAACTTCATGCTTAATCAAAAAAGATAAGTAATGTCGAATTGTCAAGTTCACATAAATGTTTTTTTTCAATTGAGCATTAAGTTAATTTAACCTACTTAAAAATAAAATTGTAAACTCGTTGCCTTAAAATTTTAAAGTAGGTAAATGTCATGCTTAATCGAAAAAATTAAGTAATGTGGAATTGTCAAGTTTACGTAGCTTACATTTTTCAATTGAGCATTAACGTTTAATTACTTAAATAAATTGAGTAAACCTGTCGCCTTAAAATTATAAACACTGTAAAAAAATATTGTTGGTTTAACTTAAAAAATTAAGTAATCAGGTTGCCTTAAAATTTTAAAGTTCATTGAACTGGAGAAATTAAGTTAATACAATGAAGGAGATTGATTTAATCATCAGAAACTCAAAATAGTATGTTATGTGAACCACATTAATTATTTAAGTTGACTTGACAAAAGAAAACATGTCTTGATAACAAATCATGAACATATTTTTTTTTTTACAGAGCCTAAATAAACTTCATGCTTAATCGAAAAACAAAAGTAATGTCGAATTGTCAAGTTCAAATAACTTCATTGTTTTCAATTATGCATTATTTAAAAGCGTTTACTCAATTTTTTTCAGTAAGTGAACTGAACACTAGTCCACAGTGTATATCTGCATTGATGATGCAGATTCATAGCATTCATATCTATAACATGTTTATTTGTGTTTATCTGCAGGAATAAACCACTCGGAATGGATCAACGATTCTTCAGTTCTAATCAAACATCGAAATCTGTAATTGTCAACATTTTTCACCTCATGATTTTTATTTATACTGTTCAGATGGATGGTGTTTTCTTCCGTTTGCTGTATTCAACATTTGCCTGAGGGCTCATGCTTATGAAGGCAACAGATATTTGATATTGTTATATAAATAGGCCTATAGGCTATTATGATGTATGATACCGATTTATATAGGAAATATGATATAATAGCTATTGATACATAGGACTATTAGAAAGATATTTATTCAAACTGTAAGAGAATGTTATTTTCGTACAAGTATTTAGTCTTTTTTAATGATGGAAGGGAACGTGCAAATATGTGAATTATTTGATTAACAAATTGAAAAACAGTTTCATTTTATCTCAGGAAATCCATTGCTATATTAGTAAAATAATATTTGACACTTAATAAACTCTTGAATTAAAAAATAAAAAAAAACACGCAGCTGTCCTTTGCATTTTTCCACATCACTCAGCAAGTAAATCTTTTTTTGAGTTCTGGCTTGAGAAAACAGGAAGCAGAAGGACAGACAGAGAGGATCTGGCCCGCACCGTGACACTCGGGAGATTTCGGGTTACTTATAAACAACAGCTGGCCTGTCGGAGATGATTTGTGTAATTTTCATAACTAAACATGCTAGCCGAAACTGTACTGACACGTCTCTGATAAGAGCTCTTACGTATAGGTGATAACTCTTGTCCAAGCTATTGAGAAGAAGGCTTTCTGGATAAAGTAAATGTTTGTTGTTCCACCGTTGTGATAATGATGTGTTATCAGTGTGTTTATAAGGGGAATGTTATTTTATGATGACGGGTGTAGGCTATAGGCAACAGCTCTTCACACAGGAATGATTAACTCGATGTCCCATGATGACTGTCGCTGATCCTTTATTACTGACAGATTCTCCCCTCACGCTTTATCCGGCTTTTGTGGCAAACAAAAAGTATTATAGTTGAATGATTCATGATTTGTTTCTCGCCAAATAGTCAGACTAGCAAATATCCCTTTATGTGTTTAATATGTTTAGTATGACAACATTGCGTAATTACAAACAGCTTTAGGCTGTAAGTAATTCCCCGTGAAGCTTGTGTACAGTACTAGCACATTCAAATCAACGCAAATGTAAAAAAAAAAAGTACCATTAATAAGTATAAAAGTGTTCCGCTAATTGTTAACAGATCAGTAGTTTATTTACATTTAAATAGTAACTGGCCTATAAAAGCGCATAATCGTGTTTTTAAGTTCTTATAAAACCAGCATGACTCAATGCAGACCATCATGATTTGCATTTCACTGATTTGAACTCTGTACAGAAATCCCTGACTCTCGCTCAGATGCTGAGGTGACCCTGAGACCCCTGCTGGACATCCGAGGAACTGAGGCCTTTAAACATCTTGTTCAAAACCCTTGTTTTCAATGCATCCGCTGTAAAAGCTGGATAAAGCTCCTATCACCTATAATTTTCCATAGCTCATGTTGTTGGTTAGGAGAATTTTGCTAGGTATTCTGATTAATTATTTTGTCATTTTGCCTCCACGTTTCCCCGATTCCGCACGAGCTTCTCCTCCTGTGCATACGGTAATCTCTCTACTGTGCGACAGAGAGTCGCGCGGGTATGATGCAATCGTTAGCCTACTTTCACTAAAACTGCTTCTACGGGGCCATAACATAAGCTACAAAGCAATGGAGCATTTTATACATTGTCGTGTTTCTTTAGAAATAAATAAAGGACAAATGGGGTCTTCAAACGCCTCAGATGTAAAGTTATTCGCTGTCAAAGTGACGCCAAAATGAATGGGAGTCAATGGGAATGCTAACGCAAGTGAAGTTCTGCTGCAAGATGGCGGCTCCCGCGAGGGCGAGGCTTCAACTTCCGTTCGATGGATTACCCCCTTGATTAAAACGACTGAAAACGCGGATCACGTGACCATTAACCAACACTGGATATGCGCGTGCCGGTGTAAACAATGATTGACGAATCAAGGAAGGATACGTCATGACTGATAACACCCAATCATAGAGCCGAGTGTCAGCCTCTGCGTCAGCGTTTCTAAACTTCTCCGTTTTAGGTCTTCGTTTTATCCCGTTTTAGTCTGGATGGGAGGTGCAAACGTAGCAAAAGGTCTCAATTTTTAAACGAAAACGCAGTAGTGTGGGCGGGGCCTAAGACCTGACGCACGGACCCATTATACTGTTTTATAGCCAATTTACTTGTCTTTATGTGCATGCACTTTAAGTGTGTGCACAAAATCTGCGGGAATGAGTCAATATACGTACAATCCTTTGCAAAAATCGTACACATCATGTTCTCACACAGTAGAAATTACATTTAGATTTTTTTTTTAGCTTTTAGATTTTGTAAATTTTGAAGAAATTCAAATGTGTGGTGACAGCTGTAGTGCCTCAATTCAAGCCAGAGCCGGCTTCAGACCGCTTTTAGCAGGGGGGCATTTATTTTCAATGGGTGGGCACTAGGTAGGTATGGGGACTTTTTTTCCGATATTAGATATCCTATATTTATTATTGCTACTGCCTTTTCTGTGCTATTAACATGAATTAATGCAACCCACACAATAAACACATAAAACATTACACATTGTTGCAAGACGAGCGACTCTTATGAAATTTGATCAAGGGTTAAATAGGCCTATACAAAAAAAAAATTGCAAGACCGACTCTGACCACAGCTTTATAATAGCAAAGCTAACGAACATGTACACAGTCTCTCACTGACAGAATAGCCGTTTATATGCTATCTCAATGGCGGAAGTGAGAAAAAAAAGCTAAGTTACTCATCTTTATTCTGCTATGTTCTAACATAAGCATTTACATTCGTAGCCTTAAAAAAGCATCATGTAGTTACCTTTATCAAATAAAACCTTTAACACCTTTAACAAATAAAAAACACCCACAACATACACAGATATTATTCTACAATTTCCATTTACAAGAAAATATAGGCTTAAACACCTGTTTCTCCACGGCGGGAGTGAGTGACATTTGGCAGTGCAATGGGCAGCGCAAAAACTAGGCCAACTAAACTATTAGTTTCATCACGTGACAACACATAGTGAACATTACAGTACATGCCAGTTTAGATAAATAGCTTACGACTCGGACTCGACTGTCTTTGGTCTCGGTCTCGACTACAACACTGCACGGTAGAAGCACCAAATACCAAAGCCGGGCTGTCGTTGTCTTGCTGTATGGGGTAATCGATGTGTAAGGAGAAACTGTGGTATTGAACCATTTTCTAATTTCCATTTTTGGAGAGTTTTCATCTGTTTGCTTTGTTTTGAATGCAGGAAGTTCGCGCGGTCGCGCCAACTGAAAATCATTTCATTCAAGTATTAACGTGCGTGATTGGGGGGGCGGGGGCGGCAGGGGGGGTTCCTCACAGCGTCACACTGGTTTTTATGTTGGCTTTATTGTATTTTCAGCTAATGAGCCGTTTGTAGACATATATTTGTACTATTTCTCACTGAAATGTGAATTAAATTAAACTGATATTATTTTGTAAATTATATCATAATTCAATTTGGGGGGGCACAAAATACATTTGGGGGGGCATTGCCCCCTAATGCCCCCCCATAGCGCCGGCACTGATTCAAGCTGTTTCTCTTCCTACAAGTTTGCATGAAATAAACATCATATACGATAGTTAAAAATGTCAGATTGTGCGATTTTGACAGGAAACATGTCAGACTACACGTTGCTTACTGACCAATCATCGCTCGCCATCTTTAAAGTCCCACTGAAGTGCCTTAAAACATGCAGCATTATTCAATGTGTTGACGTAATTTGTGCTGAGTCCATTTCCTTTATTGTCAATGCAACTAACCCCAGCTGCTCCCGACGAGCCGGATGGTGCCTTGCATGGCTAACACTGGCGTTGTGTGTGAAAGAGTGTGAGGCAATATGTAAAGCACTTTGGTGGCCTCTGGGTCTGTGAAAGTGCTATATAAATGCAGTCATAGTGTGTGTGTGTGTGTTGGGAGTCATTATATGACTGACAGACAAGAACGGTTTGACCTAAAAATATCAAAATTGAAAATACTGCGGAAACAAAGACACCTACATCTTGGATGCCCTTGAGGTAAGATAAAACATACCAAAAATTAATTTCAAGGTGAACTATCCCTTTAATTTGACATTATCTGCAAGTACATGGTTTTTTTTAATACTTTTCAATATTTTAAGTACAGTATATGGCACATTCAATACATTTAAGAGCACTTCTTTTTCACAAGAGACAAATGTCTCTGAAAGTGGATAATAACTTGTTTAGCCAAAGGTTTGCCAGCAAAAATAAAGTCAATGAACTGATTCATAAAGAAACACAGCTATACATTCATGCTAATAAACAATTTTATTCTATTCTTTTTGATTTTACTGACAATTTCAGAGATTTCTTCGAGGTTACAACCACGTTTCTCACGTACAGTACACCGCTATCATATTTCTGTGGTACACTGTTTGTCTTCTGAGCTTTCCAGCATGTGACCAACGTTCTTACAAAACCTAAAGCATGCTGAAGTGTTGAGCGCTACACAACTCTGGATCAGCCGGCACAGATTACACTTCACCCCATAACACAACGAAAAAATTGCTCAGTTCCCACCCGCAACATGATTCAGGTTTCGGAAAGGCAGTTTATATCATAGAAAATAGTTAAATCTTTAAAAGGTCCCTCTTGCAGAACAGATCTCATCCTTAGTTGTCCAAAACTGAAGAAACCAACCTCTGAATGATTCTCAAGGTCACTCGGGTTCGAGAACCTCTTCCTGACCCGGTACTTAACCGTTCGGTCCTTATAAAGGACGTCATGAGCTCAGTTTGACCTACAGTAACTAAAAACCAGCCCTTCGCCCAAACATCTGCTCAATCCACAAATCCAACACACTTCTCAATTCATAACCCGTCTATAAAGTAACCATTCACAATAAAGAAGTCATGGTGAGGTGGGTCTACACACCCCTGATGCTATGAATATCAAACAGATCAAACATGCAATACAAAAATTAGACCTGTGTAGAAAAAAAAAAACATATTTATATGTTTATATATTGAACTGGATTTCAGCCAAAGTAATAAAATCAATAAAAAAAAACAAAAAACGATCATTCGGATGAAGGCAAAATGATCCGAAAATACTTAATGCGCAATATTCCCTGAAAATATTGCGGGACTAGACTAGTATTGCTGAATCCTTGGTGTATTTGTAGTGCTTCAAAATTTAAAATTCATGGAAAAAAAAAAGTAAAAACTATTTAAAAAGAGGTTCATACAGTAGCTCTTGATAAATGCACCAGATGTCAAGAGCACAGAATAGAAAATAGGAATACTGTAGCAGTACAATAAAACATATATGATATGAAACGCTTGTCTACATGAGCTTCGTGAGCTTCACACAATAGCTAAACTGGAATAAAAGTAAAACACGTCTGAAATAGTTACTCGGTGGATATAAATTCACCATGTAAAGCTTTGACAGGCACACTGCTGCTGATTTGGCCAAATGTGAATTATTAAAGCAGGGTGAATCTCATGAAAACCTAAGGACCATTATGATTTCTGAAGCATCGAAATCAGCTGGTTTTATACAAACCAAAAACAGTATCACTCAATTAACCTAAATACATTCATTTATCCCAATAAAACTAGTTTAATGGTTTAAATAAGATAGAAAGAGCTTCTTCAGGTGACATTTGCATGTTCCCAGTTTGTACGGCACATGTGGATTACTGTAACACATGTGGATTACTGAAACACATGTGCATTACCTTAACACACGTGCATTACTGTAACACACGTGCATTACCGTAACACACGTGCATTACCGTAACACATGTGGATTACTGTAACACACAAGCATTACTGTAACACATGTGCATTACTGTATTAATGTAATACACAAGCATTACTGTAACGCATGCATTACTGTAACACACAGGCATTACTGTAACACATGTGGATTACTGTAACACGTTCATTACTGTAACACACGTTCGTAACATATGTTCATTACTGTAACACACATGCATTAGTTTAACACGCCTGCATCACACATGTATTACTGTAACACACGTGCATTACTGAATCTCGAGTTTGATTGTAATTCTCATTCTCAGTGATGATTCTTCAAATTAGTTGTTAGGAGAAACCTGCTTAACTATTATTCAAATTCCTAATGGTCCTGAAAATTGGCTTAATTTTCTTTAAGCATTTATTCTTATTTCTTACTATTGATCTAGACATGTTCTTACGGAAGTTATTTCTGCTACAGAATACAGATAGAAAAAAATGTAACCGTTTATATATCACAATTCTGACTTTTTTCTCTCAAAATTGCGATTCTCATTTCCGCAAATCAGGTTTCAGTTTTTTATGTACGTTTACACAACGTTGATGTACAAAAAAATGAACGATTTCTCCTTTGTGTTTTTAACATACACACAAACTGTCCCCGTTTACACGGATCTGTGAAAATGACTAAAAACGCTGTATCATTCATGCGAGGCCAGTAGGTGGCGACGTCACTTTGTAAAGAAACACTATAGACTGAACACATAATACACACGCGCATGATGTCACCGATTTCACAGATTCACGTTTCTGTAGTTCAAATGGTAAAAACTTGCACTTTGAAATCTATGTTCAACAGTTTACGTTTTCAGGCCCACAAAACACAGCTGTCGTCTAAATGAACGGGCGAAACGGAATAAAGTTGTCATTGAAAGTGTTTTTATTTTAATGATCTTTCCTTATAATAAATCATGTAAATTCCAGGTTGACTTTTTCATTTGCCACAACAAAGGTTTTTAGTGTTTAGGTGAAGACGGTGTGGTGTACCCTGACCTGACTGCAGACCTGTGCAGAACTTCAGAGGAAAAAAGTCTGAATTATGAGATATAAACTCAATTGACATGAAACATTTCCCCCGGCGGAAATAAGGCCTTCTTTTCGTGAGATTCACCCAGACTCTCTCTCTGTGTTAACGTACAAACACACTGCGCCTGTTAAACAGGATCCGAGAGCCCGACTATCTCAGTGTGATGCTTCTGAACACAAACACAGTCATAATCATATCTACCCATCATCAGTTCCAGCGCAAACACGTTTGTCTTCCTCTAATGCTTTGATTGACACATGCTTGCTCATTTGTTCGCAGGCTAAACACTTTGGTATTGTTCTTAGACTCGTGGTGATTTCTGACACCTAAACAGTGAAACTAGAGGAAGAGGCTGATTGAATATATAATATAATATCTATATTTGTAAAGCAGTCTTTAGTGTGGCGTGTGGGCCTAGAGCCAGGTGAGGAAGGGCTCGCTCTTGTTCAGGACTGACTCCACGTCGTTGAGGATGGGCATGAGGTCGGCCCCCTCCAGGGTGCCCAGGTCCACGTTGGTGCCGGGCATGGAGTCCAGGAAGTCTGGGAAGCGGCTTTGCTGGGGAACGCTCATGCTGACCGGCACGTTCATGTTCTCACCTGCACACGCAACACACAGCTCAGTGAGACCCAGTGCATATCACCCTGAATGCTGACAACATTGAATCGTACAACAATGATAATAATAATGGTGATTTGATGACAACAATTTGATGACTTGAGCATCATTCACCCTATTAGAGTGATTTCTGGAGGATCAAGACTGGAGTAATGATGCTGGAAATCCAGCTTTGAACACAGGAATAATTTACACTTTACTGTATATTCACATAGAGAACAGCTGATTTACATTTACATAATACACTCACCTAAAGGATTATTAGAAACACCATACTAATAAGGGCTGGGCAATAAATAGCAATTTCTGGATATTAATCGATTCTCATTTTTACGAACCGATATCGATTCTTATATCTCAAGAATCGATTAGTCATCCTGTTTCGTTTGAATGAATGGATCATTGTATAGCGGCTGCACACATCCAAAAAATCGCAATAATCTTTGTCCTTTGTTACTATTGATATGAAACAAAGTCTCAATTTTCAAATTACGTCCATTTTCTTTAGAAATTCAAAAACATAAATAGCGTTTTGGCGCTGTGGCGTGAGATCGCTCTGGCGCAGCTCTAGAGAAGCAGCAGCGCTGATCTCTCTTCCGGGTTAATAATACCAGTCACAGCGCGAAATAAACATGAATGAGCATCTGAAAGTGTGTTAAAGATAGAGTACAACTTATCGAAATCCCTATCATATCACATTGACTCACTCAATCAGCGTTTCAACCGTGGAAAGACGTCAGTTAAACAGCTTGTAATCATTGTCATGTATCGTCATATTTACCTCAGAAAACCCACATCAACTCGTTAGTCCACACTCGTTAGTGTTCTTCAATATTTAATGCATATTTGAATAAATCTGTCAAGTTTTTATGACAGCCACCATTTAAATGTTTATATTTCATATAATCTTCTTATTATAAAGATAAATAAAAGTGTAATTTAAGTGTTTGTATGGCTACAAAACAGTTCATTATTACCTTCATATTAGGCTAATGAAGCCTATAGGCTACAACTAGACTCCCATAGTTTACAGCATTAGTTAAGAGATTTGATTCCCTTGAGAAAAATTGCCATTTATTGTAACTGATATCCAAAATAATCGATATTGAATCGTAATCGAAATTGAATCGAATTGCAAGCTTGTGAATCGAAATCGAATCGAATTGTGAAATTTGTCTCAATACCCAGCCCTAATACTAATACTGTTTGACCCCCTTTCGCCTTAATTATACGTGGCATTGATTACATACATAAAAGTATTGATTCATTCAATTTCTTTCGCCCACAAATAAAAAATAAATTCTTACTGACCCCAAACTTTTGAACGGTAGTTTATGATACAAAAGCTTTCTATTTCAGATAAATTTATCGCTGCTCTTCTGAAATTTCTATTCATCAAAGAATCCTGAAATAAAAATGTGAATAATTGATAATAATCATAACACATATTCACATAGAAAAAATCTTTCCGATCCAAAACTTGAGCCTGGTAGTGTATATAAATATATATTGGTGTGTCATCCAATCAGATACAGTGTAAGAATGTCTCAATGACTGTGTCTCACCTGTGTCCATCTCCTCCATGTTGTTCAGGAAGTCCTCAGGAGTGGTGGGAATACTGTAGCATCCCAGTCCGAGTCCACTGTCCGTGCTCTGCTCTCGGGAGTGATACGGCCCACTGCGCGCACACACACACACACTCTTTAGCACAGCGTCACACGCTGATAAGCACACGAGCGGGTGAGGAGTTCACTTGCCTGTTGAGGAAGGGGTCGGCGCTGCTGTTGGGCATGTTGGCCTGGGACATGACCGGAGAGCTGATGGCTGGAGCCACGGGGGCCATGTTATCAGAGTCCATGGGCAGCTGTCGGAGCGCCACCTCCTGGAGAAACACACACACACACTGTAACCCGACCGCAGGCCTCTCGAGCCCTGAGAAACATCCACATGAGGAACTCAAACACTGAGAGGAAGAGCTAACATTTACATTTACATGCTTTTGTTTAAATAAACCTGACAATCTCTGCTCATAAAACTGGTTTACTGGTTGTATTATAATAAACTAAATATACCGTGGATTTCCAGTTATTAATGCTGCGGTGAGTACCAGGAACATAGAAATGTTGATTATAAATTAAATCTAAATAAAATAGCAATAAATCCTACAAGAACATAAACTCACTCATACTCAAACTACTCATTTAGTTTAGCCAAGGCAACATGTATATATTATACATTTCTTAGTATACTTTTTTTTTTCTTCAACATTGTATTTATTGATTTTAGAAACATTTACATTAAAACAAGCACAGAAAGTAAAATAAAATACAAAAATACAAAATAAAAATTAAATAAATAAAAAAGAAATAATAATAATAATAAAAACAACAACGACAACAACTATACTATACAAATGTCAAGACAATGGTACATTAATAACATAATTTGTTATTTCTGGTTACACCGAAAATAAACTATTTGGTTCAGCTTCCTTTAAAAATTCTATAAAGGGGTTCATTTCTTAGTATACTTAATTTGTTACTTATTTTTGCATGCATAATTCATTATTGTAAAAACCTAAAACATACAGTTGCCGTGCCAATAGCCAATAACACGAGGTGTAAGCGACATGTTATCATGACTTTATTATGGATTATCCACATTTACAAGTTCATAGCCATGACAACATAACAGGTAAACCCATAAGGTGACTGGACTATTTGAGCTTTAAATTGTTTTTTCAGTTTTAACAATGAGTTTTATCTAAAGAATTAGTGTAAATGCTTTTATAAATCGATAAGCTTCCCAGTAAAGCTTTTAAACGCACTGGTCGGAGCAGCTCGGGCTGTTTATATATAGAGATTCAGGGTGGAGTGCTTTTGCTGCAAGAATCCGGTGGAACACATCCAGTGCCCGGCGGATCACCCATCAGCCAGAGAGTCCACTGCATGTGTTCTCACACAGAAGAGCATATCCATGATCAGACACGAGTGAATAGAGCCAGGACTGTTGAATGTAAACACATGCTGCGTGAGGTCTGTCTGCTGCTCTACTCGTGCGTTCTCGGTTGAGTCATTCCTATAAACCTGAGCTTGATTAATGACGCCTGCTGAGGGCGGCCTGAGCGCGTGGACCACTAGGGGGCGTCACAGTTCATATCAGAGCTTCCCTTAGTAAGAGAGTCATATACTGCAATTCATTCCCCATTTCACCCTTTTGGAAAAAGCACTTCTTATCAAAGACTATAAATAAGTTGTATGGTTTTGAATGGGAAAAAGTGCAACGCTCAATAAGACGGAATAAGCCCCGCCTTCTAAACAAGAGCCAATCACCGATCATTGAGTCATCACGTCACTGCAGTCAGTCTGCAGGCGCATTAGCTTGATCCAGCCTGAAATATATCATTTTCTGTCATTATTTGAGCGTTTAGAAACAGAATTTAGTTGTCTGATTTCATTGATGATTTAAAATATGAAATTTAATTGTATGCTCGGAAATCCGTTTTTTAAGAATTTGATGCTTCCCCCCTTAAAAATATAGGAGCTGCACTTGCATGTGTCAAACATGGCCGCTGAGGGAAATGACTTATCTTAAAGGGACTTCGCTTTTTAAACCGTACTCTGTAAAAAACGATATGATCAATAAGCCCCCTACAAAAAAAAAAAACAAAAAAAAACGGCCTAAATCTGAAAATTTTTATACAGAAATGAAGGCCTAGTACTAGAGCATAAATGCAATGTATCATAAAAATATATATATTTCATATCCAATCTAATGATGTAGTTGAAGAACAAAAGTACTTTATATCTCCAAAAACACAGCATTAATGAATAGATGAGAAGTAAACAAAAAAAATATGATGTGTTATTTGTATGATTAAAAATGTATATTTTTTTGTAAAATTACTCAATCAAGTTTTGGGGTCGTTTAGACCCCGAAGCCCGGAAGTGTAAACAGGAAACAAAGACCATTTGAAGGTTAAATTACTTTACCATCAAAATAATGTAAGAAATGTATTTTTTTTTAAAGTAATATAAGATTCAACTCGATTTTTACAGTCGGTTTTTATAGTTTTACCCCCCGTTTCACAGACAAAGCTTGACTCTAGTCTCAGTCTAAAATGCTTGAGCTGTTTTAACTGAGAGCAACTTGCACTGGAATATCTTAAAATAGGTCATTGTTTTGTCTCAAGATTCAGGCCTAATCCTGGCTTAATCTAAACCCTGTCTGTGAAACCAGGCCTTTAAGTCGTTTTTTTTTTTTTACATTTTATTCGCATGTTTAAAACAATCTAAAAAAGTGAAATCATAATCAGTTCCACTGAAAGCAACCCCTTCGAGAGCTCTGGTGACATCTGGTGGGGTTTGAGGGATCAGGACATATAAACAGAGGACGTTTCTCCCTGTATGCTGCACTTGCTGCAGTATTTCTCTGTCCAGCAGACACTCACCTGTCTCAGGAGCTCCTCCTGTCTCCTCTGGATGCGCTCACGCTCCATCTGGATGCGCTGGAGCCTCATCTTCTGCTGGTGCTGCTGGGCGCTCATGTTCATCATGGGCTGAGAGCTCTGCTGCTGCTGCTGGGAGCCCTGGGCCTGGGCCTGGGCCTGAGCCTGAACCTGCTGCTGCTGCTGCTGGAGGTGCTGCTGATGGGCCTGCTGGCTGAGCACTGAAACACACACACACTTCACTGAGTATCTGACGCATACTGAGCACAAAGTAAGCTGATCGTCGTTTAGAAGAAATCAGGTGTCTATTATAAGTGACTGTGAGGGAGCCTTTTTCACCTTTGGCTTTTGGCTTGCTTAGTTGGGGACATTTTGTTTAATATTCAACAATATTATTGATCTTGCTGCATTGACACCATTATATGAGAAATAAACTGAGCTGGACAATGACATCAGTGGCTATATATATATATATATATATATACATATATATATATAGGGCTGTCAAACGATTAATCGCGATTAATCGCATCCAAAATAAAATTGTGTTTACATAATATATGTGGGTGCACTGTGTATAATTATATATATATATATATATATAAATATAAATACACACACATGCTTGTATATTTAAGACATATTTTCATGTATATACTGTATATAGATTTATATATAATTTATATTATATATAAATAGAAATATTTTATATAAGTCTAAATACTTATTATTTAAAAATACATATATGTCTACACACGTTTTACTAATTTCTTCTGTGAGCAGGAGGAATTTAAACAGTTAAACACACAAAAAAAAAACTGGCTTCACTGTAGTCAAGTCACATACGTCCAATTATAATGTTAGTTGTACAAAAACAAGGCAGGATTTAGTTCTCATGACCAGGGCTTGACATGAATTGTTGGCTAGTGGTTTTCCAGAGCTACTCAGTATTTTCACTGGCCACAAATTGTGTTGGGAAATTATGTTTTATTAAGGGTGTGACGAAACACTTAGCTCAAGAGCTCCAAAAACGAGACGAGATGATATTTCAACATCATTTTTAAGAAACATTTAATGACCAAATATACAAATGTCTGAAAGTCACAAAATTAAATATATTATTTCAATATATATTCTCAGGATCATTACTCAAGTCTTCAGTGTCACACGATCCTTCAGAAATCATTCTAATATGATGATTTGAGGCGAAAGAAACATTTCTGATTATTATCAATACTGAAAACAGTTCATATTTTGGTGGAAATTCTTTTATTTATTTGAAATATAAATATTTTCTTTACTTTACTGACACTTTTGGTCCATTTAAAGCATCTTTGCTGTATACATTTTTATTTATTTAATGAATTTTGAATGATAGTGTCTCTAAGATTTCAATATGTAAATGAGGTCTGTTGTGATTGGCTAACCAACATGTACCAGTTGATTATTAGAGTGGGCCTCTTCTAGATGCGTAATCAACTCAAAAAGAAAGGAAAAAAATCTATTGTGAAACAAATCAATTTGCTTTAGCCAAGACAGTCTGATTTTTTGTCAATTACGTTTTTTACATTTTGATTTCTTTCGTCTCTGGATCATGAAAAGCTGTTCTGTTTCAGTGTAAGGACCGCCTGCTGTTCTCGGAGATCGGACACAATGTTTTCTTCAAGGACGCCACTGGCAGCCTTTCAGAACTGACCTTAAGATCCTCTGCACAACAAGATTCACTTCACTGCTTTACTTCAAACTGAACCAGCTTCATTATCATAATCTTTATTTTTAATTGTGAAGGGCACGAGTGTTCCTCAGCCCACAGCTCCTGTGAAGAGTATCTGCGACCCGTGACCATTTGGAGCATGTGTGTGTATCTGTGTGTGTGTGGTGTGTTTATCTGTCGGGTAAACCACTTTCACATGGAGAAAACATTCCTGTAAAAGCCAGATGTGGGCTGAAAGAGTCGAGAGATACAGCACAAACAAAGCAGTCTCTCTGCTCTCCGGATCACGGAGCGGCTTGTACCGCTCATGGATTCATTATTGTGCAGATTATTTCAAAATAAAATGACGAATGTGTCACAATGACTGATTATTAGGGTTGGGTATCGTTTGAATTTGAACGATTCTGATTCCGATTCCTAGTTTCGATTCCGGTTCCTAACGATTCACAATTTCGATTCTTTTAAGAGGCAGGGTCAAATAAGTTTAGCTAACCAACGGTCTTTCTGAAGGAAATACTCCTTTTGTCACAAATTTTGCATTTTGCCGAGATTTCGTTATTTTTAGTTATTTTTAGTTATTTTTAGTGAAGCCACACTTTGGACCGCCGACGTAAGCTACTCATGTTCGACTCGCGCGGTTATGCCAACACTTCCGGTAGACGCTTCTTCGTTGGTGTTGTTCAGCGTTTTCTTCTTCTGCTTGGCAGACGGTGAATATCGAAACTAGGAATCGAAATTTTAACTTTTGAACGATTCCGGGAAAAACGAAAAGTTAGTCCCGGTTCCAATCGATACTCGATTCTCGATACCCAACCCTACTGATTATAAGATGGAGGTTGTGATAGAATGGAAGTTGTGATACAATATACTTATTGTATACATGTATGTTTTTAAATTGTGCTTACATTGGTGTACCACAAGGCTCAGTACTAGGACCGTTGCTGTTCACTCTCTACATGCTAAACATTTAATATTCAACAATATTATTGATCTGTGATGTATTATTTTCATGTTATCACTGTGAAGCTAAATAAATAAAGGTGACTTACAACCATTAGTTTAATCCTTGTCCATTACCTGTTTATTTCTCTCCAGAAGTTATGAGTGATAAAAATATATTTGTACTCTCAAGCAAGAGCTGGCTGAACTCCATCGAACAAGTGCTTGTCGTGAGCCTCTATTGGTGTTGAGTAGAGCCCGACCGATAAAGGATTTTGAAGGCCGATACCGATACCGTTTTAAAATCTGATATTCCGATATATCGGATGATATTTTTTTTTTATTAAATATTGTTGGATTTCACACATGTGTAAAAGAAAAGCTAACTTTTCTGCACAAGACACGTTTGATCCTTTTTCTCTATGTCTAAATATTCACTCCTCGCAAGTATAACTTACATTTTACAATGCAGGGACTGTAACTAGAGATATGCTAGTTATAAATACAGTAATCATTACTTTATTTAGGCAGAAAAAGTTCATTGTGGTTTCCAAACTCATTAATGTTAACGCTAGCGGTCTTCCACTGATGATAGTGGCATTAGCTAGCTTTGCGGTTGGTTAGCTAGTCTATGATGAGCCATAATTTAGCAATAGATAACATCATACCGCAAATTGTAAAACATACATTTTCAATATAACAGGCCAAGGAGAGATGATTTAAGCATGTTTCGTCCATTTTTATTTTATTTTTTAAATATTCATTTATCGGCCATTATAACTGCCGATACCAATATTATGGAAAATGCCTAATATCGGCCGATATATCGGTTTGGCTCTAGTGTTGAGGACTCGGTAAATGTTGTTGTTTCAGTCAATTCATTTTCTTTTTGAACCCTAAAACAGTGTGCTGTATAAAGTAACCTGAGCTACGCCAGTATTCCTTTACATGAATAAAAACAATCAAAATGCGAACTCAGAAAATTACGCAAACACTGCAATAATTAAATAGTAAATTAGACAAATACTTTATGTATTAAGTCTTACTTTATTAACCAATGCCTTTACTGTTGACTTTTGATGACCCGATTCAACCACAGCAATAAGGAATAAACTTTTTGCTTATATCGTTGAAGTAAGTTGTTGATCTTTCTTCTCCTGTTTCTTATTCTTCTGTGGTTCAGACTAGCAGCACAGCTGAAAGGTTTGTTTAAGCGGCGCTCTCTACTGTACAGATTTTAATATAATATACACACCAGGTCTCCAGGATCACTAGAAACATCCAGGATTTGCCACTGGCCGTTCAAGAGCAGGATTGGACGCACCTGATGCACATATTCCGAGTGGTTGCTACTGTAAGTGGTTTGTAGGGTGTTGCTTGTATAATGAAAGATCTCAAGAAAAATGTTGGGTTCCATTTTAATGTATTTGTAATAACTATGTACTTATGCTAGCAATGCCAAGGTCTTGGGTTCGATTCCCAGGGAATGCTGTAAATGTGTACCATGAATGCAATGTAATTCACTATCGATAAAAGCTTCTGCCATTTGCATGAATGTAAAAGTGCTGGCCCAAGTCAAAAGAGCCCATCTGTATAATTCTCTTGTCTAAAGGTAAAATGAGTCAATAAGTAATAGAATAAGTGATAGCACACCTTTCAATTCCCCCAACCCTACATTTATCCACGGGACCTACATCTTCTTAAATGCGTAAAAGACTCAATCACACTTACTGGGTGGAAAAAGTTGAGGCCCATCACCCTCCGTGTCTCACAATTCTACTATAAATGGATTTCTGTTGGATAGGGTTACATAATGCACAAGAGAACGGCTTAAAACTGGCACTTAACCAATTTCCTTGTTAGACTAGATGCAGTGATTCTTCAGACTTGCTATAGACATTTAAAGGCCTATCAATTGTCCAGCAAACAGGAAAACCATCCATGGGTGTGGAAAACAATAAACCAGGTCAAAATGTCAAGAAATACCACAAACAAATCTGCATCATGTACACAAACAATCACTAGAACTCTTACTAAACGCCACAATCATAACTACGCAGGAACCGAGGACGGCTTGCTTTACATAAAAGATATACGAATGTTTATTTACAATGGAAAGATCTTCAAAAGGTCATTTTTATGGATGGGGTGGAGGATTTGGCAATCCAGCAGTTGAGGTGAAGCAAAGGCGGCCTTATATGGTAAGATGAAGAGGAGACATTCGCTAGTTCAGACTTTACTTCTGTCACTGAAGTCATCAACTATTTATACTGCCATCGAGATATTTTGCATTGTGATATTATTTTCCATGACAAATAAAGGGTTAGTTCAACCAAACAGGAAAATTCTGCAATCTAACCAGTGAGGTTAGAGCTTCAGTCAACCTATGTATGTGTTTTTGCTAATCAATGTTTCTGATGTGAAAAAAAAATAAATAAAAATCCTATGTTCATCATATTAAGTGGCCGTCAACTTTTAGGATGGTTTCATGAGCTTTTGGAAGCTTGAAAGTCTTAAAAGTCGATGTAGGGACAGAAATCTCTCAGGTTTCATTAAAATAACTCGAAA